CCAGAAACTTTCTGCTTTCAAGGACTTAGCTGTATGTATTTAAGTTTGAACTGAACCCCCCCATCATCTCTACTATTTTGTTAATAAGTTCTTGCCTATCTGTATCTGTGTAATCACAAGGAAATGGTAAACTCGAAAGGGAAATCACTGTGAGTCCTATTTCTTTGTCATCTGCCACTCCCAGTGCCTACTGAACCCTTAGTCTAGTTGTTGGTCCTGAGAATGCTAATGACCAACTCCAAAACTGATTTTTTGTTTTTCAATTACAGGCTCATGAAATTCAGAAAGATTGGCCAGGCATAGTGGCTTACACCTGTAATCCCAGCGCTTTGGGAGGCCGAGGTGGGCAGATGACTTGAGGTCAGGAGTTCACGATCAGCCTGGCCAACATGGTGAAAGCCTGTTTCTACTAAAACTGTAAAAAAAAAAAAAAAATTTAGCCAGGCATAGCAGCACATACCTGTCATCCTAGCTACTCTGGAGGCTGAGTCAGGAGAATGGCTTGAATCATGAAGGTGGAGGTTTCAGTGAGCCAAGATCACACCACTGTACTCCAGTCTGGGCAACACAGCAAGACTTTGCCTCAAAAAAAAAAAAAAAAAAAAAAAAAGAAAAAGACTACTAGCTTTCCACTGAAATATTTTTATTCAGTAAATTCAAAAACTCAACCACCAGTGCTTTCTTAAAGTACAAAAACTCAGTAAGATGAGAATGTCTTAAAGTGTTCTTGATTGGCAAAGTGTTTATAATATATATAATCTCTTTTCATTTTCACAATACAATTATATAGAATTTTTATTTTAAAATGAAAATTATGCAAATATCTACGTAACAAACCTGTACTTATATTCCGTAAACCTCTAAAAATAAAAATAAATAAATACAGTAAAAATTCTGAAACTCAGAGAAGTGAAGTGACTTGTTTGCATTTGACAGAAATTAGGTGGATTCATACTCCAATCTAAGTCCTCTGATTCCAGAGAGCAGATTACTCAAGAATTGACAGTTCATGTGTCTGCGTGTGTATTTATCTAAAAGTTTTCGTTAGAGCCAAATTATAATCCAGAAAGGTTGCTACCAGTTGGGGGACAATGTAATGAAATGGTTAGAACATTGACTCTCGAGCCACTTATTAACTGTGAGACCTCAGTATAAGTCACTAAACAATATTGTGCCTCAGTTCAACCGTAAAATGTGGATGACAATATAGCACCTAATCATAGGGTTACTGTGAGGGTTAAATGAGTTAAGATACATAAAACACTGAGAAGAGTGTTTGGCACAAGAGCACCAAACATTGCCAACATTTGTGATTCTATCAGAAAGCCATTATTAGTAAAAATCTGAAGGGTCAAAGATGCCATTGACCTTTTGCTTTATTTTGCATTTTCCTAACTACCACTAAGGGTCACCACCATTTTGTGTTGTTGTTATTTGGTATGATCTCTTGTGAATGGCCAGCCCATATCTTTTGCTCATTTTTTAAACTTTTTCGGTCTCTTCATTTTGGTTTGTAGGAGCTTTATAACATATTTTGGGGCTGGGGGCAGTAGTTCATACCTGTAATCCCAGTACTCTGGGAGGCCAAGGGTGAGAGGATCGCTTGAGCCTAGGAATTCAAGACCAGCCTGAGCAATATAGGGAGAACCCTTCTCTACAGAAAATTTAAATCTTGGCTGGATGTGGCGGTGCACACCTGTGGTCCTAGCTACTCAGAAGGCTGACATTGGATCTCTTGAGACACTGAGGTGGAGACTGCAATGAGCCATGATTGCACCATTGCACTCAAGACTGGACTACAGAGTGAAAGCCTGTCTCAAAAACAAAACAAAACATATTCTGGATATAAATCCTTTGTAACACATATATAGCAATCTTTTGCCTTGTCGCTTATTTTTAATGTTGCTTGTCTTTTTTATAGCAGTTCAAAATTTTTATGTACTCAACTTGTCAAGCTTTTATTTTATAGAACTTTTGATTTGTGTCATATATTTTGTATTTATTTCTCATACTTCCATAGTTTGCATTTTTATACCCTAGAAATTAATTTTGTGTATGGAGGGAGGGATCTCCCTCTTTTCCTCACAAATGAATAGGCATCATCACATGAATAATTTGGAGTTTGACAGTCTGTTTAAGCTTTAGCACTTGCAATCCTCACTCCCTCAAATCTGCTCTCTGGTCTCCCCTCTGACCTCTTTCTAAAAAATAGGGGTATTTTTATACCCTGATGATATTTTCTATCATCAGAGGTGGGGGGAGGGGGGTGGGAAGAGAGAAAGAGAGAGAGCGAGAGAGCGCGAGTGAGAGAGCAAGAGCTGGCCTTCCTTCCTACTTTAATAAGGGCACTAATCACATCATGAGGGCCACATCCTCATGACCTCATCTAATGCTAATTATCTCCCAAGGGCCCCACCTTGAAATACTATCACATTGGGGATTAGGACATTAACATATGAATTTGGGAGTGGGGGATAAAACTATTCAGTCCCTAAATTCCATTCTTGGTCCCCCAAAATACATGTCTTTCTTTCATGAAAAATACATTAATTCTATCCCAATAGCCCCAAAAGATTTAACTCATTCCAACATCAACTCTAAAGTCTAAAGTTCAGTCTCATCTAAATAAAATGTGGGTGAAACTGAAGGTATGATTCATACTGAGGCAAATTTCATCTGCAGCTATGAATCTGTAAAATCAGAAAAGTTATATGCTTTCAAAATACTATGGTAGAACAGGCATAAGATAAACATTTCTATTCAAAATGGGCCATTTCATAAGAAAGAAAGGAGTGATAGGTCCAAGACCTGGTAAGGCAAATTTCATTAGATCCTGAGGCCTGAGGATAATCCTCTTGCTTGATGCTCTGTTCTCCGGATGCACTATGGTGGCAATATTGCTCTTTGGTTCCAGATCTGGGTTCTACCCCAACAGCTTCAGGCAGAGATCTTTTGGCTTGTGGAAACTAAGATACTGGCCCTGATCACGTTCTGAATCACCCTTGGAGTCATTGTTGCCTCTTCTTGATGAATAGTGCATGGTTGCTGCCAAATGGCATTATCATCCCATCCTATCAGATCCAAGAGGTCTAAAAGCCTTCCTTTATTTCATCCCATCTCTATGCCCTTCAGCTCAAACTTGCAGTGTTTCACTTTGTATAATTCCATAAACTCTTTAACAAGTGATAGTCTACGAACACGTCTGGCGTGCTTTTCAGAACATGCTTTCTTAATGTGGTCAGATGAGAACTTCCTAAATCTTCAAGTTTTGGTTTTGTGTGCCTGTAACAATTTCTTCTTTATTTCCTCTCTCTTCATTCACATTTTACTATAAGCAATTAGGAAGAACCAAGCAACTCATTCAACACTTTACTTATAAATCTCCTTAGCTAAATATCTAGTTTCATTGCAAGCAAGTTCTGACTTCCACAAAACACTAGTACACAATTTAGTCAAGTTTTTGTTACTTTATAACAAGGGTTGCCTTTCCTCTAGTTCCGATAACAGGTTATTCACTTCTATGAGACCTCACAAGAATCACTAATGCCTGTATTTCTAACATGTGCCTCAAAACTCTTCCAGGTTTTAGCCAGTACCCAGTTCAAAAGCCACTTGCAAAAATATGTTTAGATATTTGTAACAGTGGTACCCCACTTTTTGGTGCCTAAATCTGTTTTAGTCTGCGTGGGCTGCCATACCAAAACCTTAGATTGGGTGGTTTAAACAATATCAACTTGTTTCTCATTATTCTGGAGGCTGGAAAATGCAAGATCAAAGTGCTGGCCTATTCATTCTGCCTTGCAAATGACCTCCTTCTCGTTATGTCCTTACATACCTTTTTGTGCACGTGTAGAGAGACAGAGACAGAGAGAGGGAGAGCAAGGTCTCTAGTGAACCTTTTTACAAAGGCACTAATCCCAACCTGAGGACCCTACCCTCATGACCTCATCTAACCCTAATTATCTCCTAAGGACCCTGTATCTCATACTATCTATCACATTGGGTGTTAGGACTAACATATTAATTGGGGAGGTGAGGGAGATATACATATTTAGTTCATAATAGGTATTATTACAGGGCATCAGGTCACATGTTGCTCATGCCTTTCCAACCCAGACAGCCTTAGGGTTGATTTGAGTTTCAGGGAAGAACAAAGGTCTTTTTGACCCTTCAAAGCAACATTGTGCAGTCTGGAGTCGTCATCATCTGCCACCTTGAAGTTATGCTTGTGAGAAAGCAAAAGCTGTGCTACTATAGTGTGCCTGGTGCAGGAAGTAGCACTTTGTGGATTTGGGGATACCAGTAACTTGACTCTACTTCCTAGCAAGAATGGCAAATTGCATAGCACCCATTGTGGCTTGGAGAGTAAGGAGCATTGTAGCCATTCTTCTTCGTAGTTACCAAGTGAATTTCCCTCTCAAAATTCATCTTCAGCATCTGATGCATGCCATATTCTGGAGATAGTACCAAAGACCTCACATACATGGCCTGGGCACTGTCATCCGGGCTTTGGCCTCTATCTCAGGCTTACAGTCCCAGGTAGGAGGCCCCAGCCTGTCAAGACATGACATTTTTAAAGGACTCCACCCACCCACCAGTAAAAACAAAACAAAATAATTTGGTGTTTAGATTAATTAGGAAATTAAAATAATCAGAGAATATAATTATTGATGCATGATGTTGCCAAATAAAAACATTAAGTTTGCATTAATGAGGAGTATAAGAAGCTGTGACAAGCAATAAAAATAATGCATTGTTTCGCATTTGCACACTCTTGTATTTAAACCCATAGAATTTTATTGATATTTAAACTTAGAATGTTGTTTATATCATTTATATTTAGACATTTTCTGAGTCTTAACATCTCAGTCCAGAATATGATAGATATTTGGTGTGATAAAACTTTCCTTTTTTTTTTTTTGTATGTTACCTTGAACTGTTTCACAGATTTAAAATGAGTAGAATCAAAACAAAATCTATGGGTATATCTATAAACCCTGGATGTGAAGTAAAATGTGCTGCCACTTAATTGATAAAACTATGTTCAAAGAGCAGCTAGTGTTTTCCTAACTAATGTTCATGTTAATGTTTGGGCTTGAAGAAGTTGCCATTTATTCATCCTTTTGTTCAGTAAATAGTTATCGAGCATCCTCTTTATGCCATTGCTTTATGGAAAGCACTGGACATCAAGTAGGGAACAGGATGCAGGATCCATACTTTGCTAGAGGTTATAGTCAAGTGAGTGGAGTTTACTGCCAAGTAGGACAGACAAAATAATACATTGAGAAGACATGAACTTAATAAAGAATGGGAATTCTGAAAGTGATCTGAATGGAAGTAAGTTTAAACAGGAGGCTCAAATTGTTACAAGGATAGGGAAATTGTGAAAATAGCATGGACATTTCAGGTATGAGGATGGCAAATAGAGTGTCTTAGAAACATAAGTACCAAACTATACTTTCATTTCAAATTTGAAACTATGCTATCCTGTGGATTCCTTATCAAGTTAGGAGTAGTAAGAAATTGATATTTGTGGAAGTGTTTTAGAGAAATGCATGTGTATATAGCACACGAAACTGTTATAGTAGGTAGTCAAGGAAACATGAGCAGGGCAGGAGAGGGCACCCGCCCCACCACCAGGAATGTTAGGCCACCACCATCCGGTGATGGTCAGGTGGTGGTTAAACTGCCTCTGAAATAATAATCGGTTGCAGACAGCACCAGGGAAAGGCAGTCTCTCAACAAATAGAAACAACTGAAACTGGTGATCCACAGCTTTTGATAAGATCTCAGGAGCTGGGTGAGTGAGGTCACGTAGGCACACTAAGAGGCAAAATGGCAGAGTTTAACTGGTATATGACATTATAAGAACACTCAACCGGTAAGAGAAAAATGCCTCAATAAGCATGTGCACATCAGTAAGCACGCTGTGCATGCAGCCCCTCCCAAGGGTTGACAGTTCACTGCACATGTGGACAAAGAAGAATCCAAAGGAAGAATCAGGGAGAAGAGATGAGAGAAGATCCCAAAGGATAACCATGTATAAAAAAAACCCCACGTAGCATTTTGAGGTAGACCCGGTTGTAGCTGTTATGGATCTCGATCTGCACGCATCTGCTCCTAACTCACTGCTGTTTGCTGTCCCTGAGGAACAAGTCAGTCAGGAAGCCGCCTCAGCCATGGCTTTTAAGGATACTGGAAAAACACCCGTGGAGTCAAAGGTGGCAATTCACTGAATTTGAATTACTCCAAGGAGCCACAATGTAAAATCCGTGGAGAAGGCGTGTGCTGACTTGATCAGAGGAGCAAAGGAAAAGAATCTCAAAGTGAAAGGACCAGTTGGAATGCCTCCCAAATCTTTGAGAATCACTACAAGAAAAACTCCTTGTGGTGAAGGTTCTAAGACATGGAATCATTTCCAAATGAGTATCCACAAGGGACTCATTGATTTGCACCATCCTTCTGAGATTGTTAAGCAGATTACTTCCATCAGGATTGAGCCAGGAGTTAAGGTGGAAGTCAACATTGCAGATACTGAAGTCAACTATATTAATAAATTGATTACCAGTTTTCAAAAAAAAAAACATCAATGGTGAACCTATGCACATAAATCTCTCAAGTCATGGGCTTAGCCCTCTTCCAATTGTACTTTACTTTTGTTCCTGCTCTGAAACTTTTTTTTTTTTTTTTTTTTTTTTTTGTATTTTAGTAGATAAAGGGTTTGTCCTGTCTCTCCTTGTTGCCCATACTGGTCTCCAATTACTGAGCTCAGGCAATCTGCCTGCCTCAGCCTCCCAAAGTGCTAGGATTATGGGCATGAGCCACCACTCCCAGCCCTGCTCTGAAACTTCAATAAACATTTACTCCTGCTCTAAAACTTGCCTTGGTTTCTCCCTCTGCCTTATGCCTCTCAGTTGAATTCTTTCTTCTGAGGAGACAAGAACTGAGGTTACTGGAGCCCCATGTGGATTTTTCACCACTATCAACACTACTAGTATTTTGATTTTATACAGTCACCAAATAGTTTTTCTTTTGAAAAAAAATACTCAGATAAATATTTCCAAAATCTTAATGACAGAAAAAGAATTCAGAGATAATTTGACAGTTGTTCTGGTGTACAGATGCTAATGCGTAGGATGAATTGGAGAGGACAGGCTGACGTCAGGCACTTCCTAGGAATATAATGCATTAGTTTTGGCAATGGCTTGAGGTTTGAGCTAATAGTTCTTTTTATGCCTTGCAAAAATAAAAATTCTATTTTTATATTTTAATATTGAATAATCAAAATATGTAAGTAGTATTTTAAAAACTTACCATAGTTTTATGTTCTTTCTAAAATTCTAACATATTTTATCATAGAATACTTTTCATACATAATTTTCTAAGTTTGCAGTATTACTAAAGTGACCTCTGAACCTTGTCAGCAATATTCTGAAGAAAGACTAGCATTGTCTTTCTTCACTTTTCCTTTCCCTCCTTCTTTGCTTACTTATTCTTTTCTAATACATTATAACCAATAAAACAAATTTATATCCATGAGCCTATACTGAAATAAATAAAGCATGGAATAGATAAATAAGTAAATGAGGGAGAAAGGGTAGCTATTTCTTTGAATAAGAGTATACGAATTAATAAATATAGAAGGAATGATGCAAACAGAAAATCACTAATAGGTGAACACTCCAGTAATAATTGTTATAGACAAGAAATAATTGACAAATATTAAAATTAGTGGATGAAAGTATGACAAAAGGCTGTGCGTGGTGGTTCATGCCTGTAATCCCAGCAATTTGGGAGGCCAAGGTGAGTGCATCACCTGATGTCAGGAGTTCGAGACCAGCTTGGCCAACATGGCAAAACGTTGTCTCTACTAAAAGTACAAAAATTAGCTGGGTGTGGTGGCATGCGCCTGTAATCCAAGCTATTCGGAAGGCTGAGGCAGAATCATGTGACTCTGGGAGGCAGAGATTGCCGTAAGCTGAGATCGCGCCACTGCATTCCAGCCTGTGTGACAGAGCAAGACTCTGTCTCAAAAAAGAAAAAAAGATTATCATACTCTCAACATATCTTCCCATAAGATGTGTATCAATGAGCCCAGACCAAAAAAATAATTTTCCAGTGGAGAAACCTGGCAGACAACATCTCAGCTATGAGAACAAAGTTAACATCATTGGTGATTAGACATATGAGTGTTATGTACCTCTCAATAGGATGCACTTTGAAGGGTACAACATTACTTCTCTGATTCTTGCAAAAACTGCATAACCTCAAATCTTCAGAAAACATCAGAAAAATTCAAACTAACAGGCATTCCACAAAATAAATGGTTAGTACTCTTCCAAGTGTCATGGTCTTGAAAGACAAAGAAACAGTCACAGATAGAAAACTAAGAGGACATGACAGCTAAATATAAAGGGGGGATCTTAGATTCAGTCCCCTGGAACAGAACAGGGACATTTTGTAAACAAATGCTAATATTCTGGTTTGATAATTAAGGTATACTTAGATAAGTTGTTATATTAGGGAATCTGGGCATATGAGAACTCTGTGTTCTATTTTGCAACGTTTTGTAAGTCAATTCTTTTTAAAAATAAGTTAAGGCTGAGTGTAGTCACTCATGCCTGTAATCTCAGCACTTAGGGAGGATGAGGTGAGAGGATTGTTTGAGGCCAGGTGTTTGAGACCAGCCTGGGCATCATAGGGAAACCCCATCTCTACAAAAAAAAATTCCTTCCTCCCTTCATTCCTTCCTTTGCTCCTTCCTTCCTTCCAGAAAGGGTCTTGCTCTGTCACCCAAGCTGGAGTGCAGTGGCCCTTCTCTGTTCATTGCAGCCTTTATCTCCCAGGATCAATCCATTGTTCTCTTCTCACATCAGCCTCCAGAGTAGCTGGGACTACAGGCATGTACCACCACATGCAGCCTTTTCTTTGAAGAAACAGTGTTTTGCTATGTTGCCCAGGCTGGTCCTGAAATCCTGAGTTTAAGCAATCCACCTGCCTTAATCTCCCAAAGTACTGGGATTACAGGCATGAGCCACTGCACCTAGCCACTACAAAAAATGTATAAAAAATTAACTGGGCATGGTGGGGTACACATGCAGTCCCAGCTACACAGGAGGCTGAGGAGGGAATACTTGAGCCCAAGTATTCAAGGATGCTGTGAGCTGTAACTGCCACTGCATTCCACCCTGGGTGACAGAGTGAGACCCTGTCTTTAAAACGAAGAAAAAGGAATAAATTTATGTATACAGCTACACTTGCGTGTGTATATGTGTGCATGTATACACAGTCATGTGTCGCTTAATGATGGGAATACATTCTAAAAAATGAATCTTCAGGCCAGGTACAGTGGCTCATGCCTGTAATCCTGGCACTTTGGTAGGCTGAGGTGGGCGGATTGCCTGAGCTCAAGAGTTTGAGACCAGCATGCACAACAGGATGAAACAGCGTTTCTACTAAAATACAAAAAAAGTAGCCAGGTGTAACGACAGGTGCCTGTAGTCCCAGTTACTCGGGAGCCTGAGGCAGGAGAATCACTTGAAACCTGGGAAGCAAAGGTTGCAGTGAGCTGAGATTGTGCCATTGCACTCCAGCCTTGGCAAGAGAGTGAGACTCGTTCTCAAAAAAAAAAAAAAAAAAAAAAGCATCTTCAGGTGACTTTGTCATTGTACAAACATCATAGAGTGTAGTTATACAAACCTAGACCATACAGCCTACTACACATCTAGGTTGTATAGCACAACCTATTGTTCCTAGATTACACACCTGTATAGTATGTTACTATACTGAACGCAGTAGGCATAAGCATTTGTATAGCTAAACACATCTATGCATAGAAAATATACAGTACAAATATGGTATAAAAGATAAAAAATGGTACACATGTATAGGGCACTTATCATAAATGGAGCTTGCAAAGACTATAAGTTAGTTGCTCTGGGAGAGTCAGTGGGCGATGAATGAATGTGAAGTCCTAGGACGTTACTACACAATACTGTAGACTTCATAAACATTGTATTCTCAGGCTACAGTAAATATATAAAAAATTTTCTTCGATAATGAATTAACAGCCTATTTTAACTTTATTTTTTAATTTTTTTAAACTTTGACTTTTTTGTAACAGCATTTAGCTTAAACCAGAAAGACATTGTACAGCCATACAAAAATAGTTTTCCTTATGTTATTTGAGAAGCTTTCTATTCTTAAATATGTATTTATTATTTACTTTTAAACGTTTTGTTTAAAATGAAATATGAATGGCTGGTAACCCTCATATAGATTGAATTTGAGCTATGGGAGAAAGTGTAAAAAGGAAAAAAAGGACTTTGGACAAGACCTGGGAACTTCAAAATTTAGAAACTGGGAAGGGAGGACCTACAAAGAAGTCCAAGATACATTTATCTAAATTGGTCCCCTAAAAGTAGACAGTATCTTGGGAAAATCAAGCACAGTCAACTCTTTTTGTTTTGTTTTTGCTTTTTTGAGACAGAGTCTTGCTCTGTCACACAGACTGGAGTGCAATGGTGCAATCTTGGCTCACTGCAACCTTCACCTTCCAGGTTTAAGCAATTCTGTCTCAGCCTTCAGCGTACCTGGGATTAGAGTCACATGCCACCACATCTGGCTAATTTTGTGTGTGTGTGTTTTGTTTTGTTTGAGACGGAGTTTCACTCTTGTTGCTCAGGCTGGAGTACAATGGTGAGATCCTGGCTCACTGCAACCTCCTTCTCCCAGGTTTAAGTGATTCTCCTGCCTCAGCCTCCCAAGTAGCTGGGATTACAGGCATGCGCCACCACACCTGGCTAATTTTGTATTTTTAGTAGAAATGGGGTTTCACTATGTCAATCAAGCTGGTCTTAAACCCCTCCTAACATCAAGTGATCATCCAATCCATGCGCCTCGGCTTCCAAAAGTGCTGGGATTACAGGAGTGAGCCACTGCACCCGGCAATTTTTGTATTTTTAGTAGAGATGGAGTTTCACCATGTTGGCCGGGCTGGTCTTGAACTCTTGGCCTCAAGTGATCCACCTGCCTTGGCCTCCCAATGTGCTGGGATTACAGGTGTGAACCAACGCACCAGACCAGTCAACTCTTAATAGCTATTGTAATTCAAAGACAGTGTTGCCAGAAGAGACATTTTTAGGTCATCCATAAAGATTTGATACTCGGTATCAAGTGATATGCATTGTATTTGACGTTGTAAGTACAATGTATCAGCCATGGTATCTACTTTAAAAGATTATAATCCAGTGGAGAAGCCATGTTTAAACAAACAAGTTTAAAATAAATTAATACTTTAATTATACCAATATACATTGTGAGTATCCAAAAGGTGGTTTGGTCTAGCGTAAATGCAAGGGAGGAGTCTAAGAATATATTCAAGCCTGTGTAGAACTTGCCCAAAGACACAAGGGGTAGAATGGAGACAAGCCAATGAAAGTGGTTTTAAATATGGGATCCTTTACGTGCTAAAACACTTACATTGATTCAGTAATTTACAAATGGAAATGGAACTTAGACTGACCCCTTTAATGCATTTATTAGTGAGCTGTTGTAGTTGTGAACTGTCCCCTTGCCTTCCTACTACCAATTCTTA